CACTGTTGGGGCTGGAGAGATGGCTCAATAGTTAAGAGCACTAGCCAGCTGCTCTTGCAGAGGACCTGGGTTCAGTTCCCAACTCCCACATGACAGCTAACAGTCATCTGTAACTCCAGTTCCAGGGTATCTGATACCCTCTTCTGACCTCCATGGGCATTTCAGGACACAGGTGTTTTTATATGCATGCAGGCCAATACACTCATACACATAAAATAAAAATAATAAACAAAATATTTTTTTAATCTCGATTTTAGAATTTGTTATATTCATATTGATAATCAGTTCTATATCTTTGTCTTTTTCTAGGCACAGGTCTATGAACTAACTTCATATTCATCTCTAAAGGCTCATATTTTTCTACTACACTTAGAAAACAAGCTCATTGGTTTCAAGGACCATATCCCCGAAGAGCATCATCTATATGTTAAGTGTAAAAACTTGCCAAGGGCAGTCAATTTTGTCTATTTTAATCAATATGTTCTGATTATCCAGAAGAAAGCTTAAAATAAAATTGGTGCTCAAAACAATCTAATGACTTTATCATCCAAAATTACCCTGCAAGTCAAAAAGAAATTCTACATAATCCCATTTTTTAACATTATGCCAATTAGCAACATGAAAGCTCTTCGCGGTCTCTTCAGTTCATATCAAGACCATCACATCATGCATCAGTGTCAGGAAATGAACACCAGCTGTCCACTGGGAGCACGCCTAAAGGAGCAAAGGCCTGTCCACATGCCCTTGGGTGTTCTTACCCAAATAGGCTCATATACAGCTATATGATACCTTTAGTCACTCAATACACACAGGCTTACACACAGGGCCTGCAGCTCAGCCAGGCTATAAATGAAAACTCAAGAGAACAGTCACAGGAACTCTGACCTCTGAAGTGAAGGCCAGCCAAAAGCATAATTCAGACACGGAAAGTCGCCACTCCTGGCTTCAGTCAGAATCCTCAGAAGAGTCTCCCACAAATCCAGTGAGGGTCTGCAAAACTCTGCTAAATTGTTGGCCGAGATCCTCAAGCCTGCCACAGCTTTAAACTGTGCCTGTGGATCTATTAATAGGCTATTCACTCCTGGCTGCGTAGACTAGAGGAAACAGGTAGACAGGAGACCAAAACCTTAAAGTCAAAGAGACCTGGTTCTGAATCCCGGCTCCACAGGCAACAAAGCTGTGGACAGAGGATCAGCCTCCTGGTCTTAGATTTGCAATATGAATGATTCCCATCTTACAGCAGTGTTATAATCATTAACATGAGCACAGGCAAAGCACCAGGAGTCCACTACTGCTGTTGACATTATCATTATTGTTTAGATTACAGATCAGAGAATAGCCCTGGAGATTAAGCCAGCACACCCAATGCAATCCTAAGAATTCATTTTGACCAATTTTCTTGAATATGTCTCATTTTGTCCCTTTGGGGGGAAAAAGACAGGTCTCTAAGAAAAGCAATCAAATGTCCATGCTATGCTTTCTAAAACCCACTTGGCAACAAAGCTTTCTGATTCGTTTTCAGAATTTTTACCTCCTGCAGAAAGTTCAGGGCCTCAACCTGATTGTCCCTCATCCCTTGAATCTCAAGAGTCACCAACCCCAGGGTTCACTGTCTTCTTGGCACTGTCCTCCACACTGACCTACCACCCTTCTCTCTCCACCTCCCCCAGCATAACACTGAGCACTCCCTCAGCCACACTGCCCCATTTTTAGCTCCTATTCAAGCCACTAGCACCCTCCTTCTCCAGCTGCCAGGCCCTGGGGAGAGGTGGGAAGGACAAAAGAAGGAACTCTGTCTCCCAAGAGCTACAACCTGCCAAACAAATTTGGCAATCACAGCAACTGGACTCCTGCTCAACTGTCACCCTTTGTGTTTGTTCTAATGAGTCAAAGTAGAGTCTTTGGTCTGATTGCTTCTCAAGTCAATACTTTTTTTTCAGTTCTGAGGCTCATACCGAAAGTCTTGTGTGTACTAGGTAAGCACTCAACCACTAAGCTAAACACAAAGCCTTGGTTTTTTGAGACAAAAATCTCATTAAATAACTCAGACTGGCATCAAAAGCAATCCTTCTTCCTCAGCCTCCCGAGTGCTGGGATTTCAGGCCTGCACCACCATGCCCGGCCCTAAAATACATATTTTCTGAGGTAAGCTTTATATACTATGTCTTAGATATACAAGGCCTACATACTTCAATTGTACGGTATTAAATATTATACTTCCCCTCATTGTGGGTCAGTTGGATGATGCAGTCATTTGCTGAATTGTGGGCTTTCTTTTGAGCTCCTTCCCTGAGTCTCAGATTCGAAATTTAACACTTGATTCTGGAATACTCTCCCCACTAGATTTACAAGGCAGCATTGTCATTTTTCAACTCTGGGACCTGAAGTCTGGTGGATGTAGCTGGCCTCCTCTGACACCTAAAACTAAGATTAGGAGTTCTTGAAGAATCAGTCACCCCTCTGTATCCTCAGGTTCCATGTTCACAAATTCAACCAACTATGGGTCAAAAATAGAGGAGAAAAAAAATCTCCAGACTGAACTTGTACAGATTTCCTCCTTGTCATTACTCTTTAAGCAATACAACCTAAGAAGTATTTAAAGCATCTGCATTGTGTTAGGTATTATGTGCCATCTAGATGTGGCAGTTCATGCCTACAAACCTAACACATGGGATGCTGAGGGAAGAGGATTGCAACAGGTTGAGAGCTACCTTCATCTACATAGTTAGTTCCAGGCCAGACTGGGCTACACAGTGAGACCTCATCAATCATTTCTTCTTCTCCTAGCGAGGACTCACCAGATCCACGTTATTTTTCATTTGTTGATCAGAGCCACCTTTTAACTCTTATTAACCCTACTTGAACCTCTCTCCTATCAAATAAACTTTTCTTAGTTGAGTGATTATTTTGGACAGCTGCTCTTTCTAAATTGCTGCTCATAAACACTTCATGTTTCCCATTGCTCCATAAAATCCAAACTCCTCTGAGCAGCACATGCAGCTCTCCGGGATCCCCTCCCCACCAGCTTTTCTTGCCACACACTCATGGAACACTCAGCTAACTGGCAAACACATCATGCTGTCTCCTGTTTTCTTACTCTTATCTTACAGTGCTCTCTGCCTGGAGAAGGAACATCCTTCCTCCCCTGTCTCCCAACCTTAGAAATCTTGTAGTTCTCTTTCAAGAATCTACTTAAGTGAACCTCACCAGCTAAACTGGTCAGTTTCCTCCCTCTGCCCCCATTTAGTTCATTTTCTTATTCATTCTATTGTCTCTATCACACTGAACATCTTTTCAGGTTTTTGCTGACCACAATACCTTGGCTGTGAGCTCTTTGATAAGAGGAATATGGTAGGAGCTCTGTAAATATTTATTTCAGTGACCTTTCCCAATTTCTTTAGGGAGTATTTTGAAGGCAATCTGACAAACTACACAACTTGAAATGATAAAAATTGAAATATTTTCTCCTGTATTCATTGGTTGGATTTCCATTTCATGGTTAAGAAACCCATGAAATACCTCTTTAAAAAAAATTTTTCATAGAAAGTCAACTAATTTTTGCCAGTTTGAACAAGCCTAGAAACTGTTTTGGAACAGAAAAGTGTTTCAAAAGGTACTTTATATAAGTACTTGTAGATGGTTGAGAAGAAACCTACCGAGATGTTAAAGGCTGGAAAACAGGCTAAGAGAACTGGAAAGAAAAGCCAAAGGCAATCTGGTAATCAATGTCAATCATGTAAAAGACTGTTATTTACAAGAAAAATGACAAACTCATGATGCCTATTCCCTCCAAGGGGAGGGTAACAGGAAATGAAGTGAGTTGCAGCAAAGAAGATGTGGCTTTAATAGTGAGGCACTTACCTGGAGACATTACTAGATACTCAAGAGTTCAACGGGGATGATGCCTTCTGAGTCTTTTCTTCTCCAGAAGTATACAAAAATATGCAAGGTTCCCAAATGTCTGGAATGTTCTCTGTGTAACACTATCTAAACTCAGAAATTATATAGTTCTCTCTTTTTTTTTTATTTTACGTGTATGCATGTATTGCCTACATGTAGGTAGGTAGGTGCACCCGTGTCATGCAATGCCTGCAGAGGTCAGAAGAAGCTGTCGGATCCCCTGGGACTGGGGTTACAGACAGATGTTAGCTGCCATGTGGGTGCTGGGATTCTAACTCGGATCTTCTGTAAGAACAACCAGTGTTCTTAATCACTGAGCCATCTCTCCTATAGTTCTTAAGAACAGTCCTCAGATGCAATGTAGATTTTGGATTTCAGGGCACACACAGTCCGAGTCTTTTCAACTCTAAGATCTTGGACAAAGTTCCTAAGCAGAACCAAAACTCAATGGCCGTTTTTCACTAAACATTTGTTAAGCCCTTTTTCTACACCAGTCTAACAGGTACTGTCACAATGGTGAAGGCCATAGTTTACTCTAATAGAGGAAGGAGGCGTTTGTCATACATCCCTCACAGGACATACTTTTGGGCCTCGGCTCTCAGAATTCTGTCTGTACCAGCACACATCCACATTACAAAGCAAACACCAAAGCCACATGCATTTCCTCTGAGTGACACCAAGCCCTAGCTGCTCTAACCAATGTGTGTTTACATGTACTATTTCCTTATCTGTAAAGAATGCCCTTCCCCCACTTCCTTACTTAGGAAATTCTTCTTGTCCTTGAAGCCATGGTGCAGGTGTTACCCTCTCCAGGCTATCACATTGTCCTGGCTATAATCCCTACTCTACACTGTGATATTGTTCCATTATCCCTGACTGCAAGCATTAGAAACTGGATCAAAGTCAGTATAATAAAAGAGAACTTATTGGAAGTATATCGAGAGTTCAGTATCAGCTTGTAGTCCTGAAAATGCCTAGGATCCAAGAGAGTTGATGCCAAACTACAGAAGGCACAGTTGCCTTATACCCAAGAGCATCAGAGCTACATGTTTCCACCTTGCTTGAGTCACAAATGCCCTTAAAAATATTTCTTCCACCCCTATGTCCATGTCCTAGAAGAAGGTTTAATTGGCCAAATTTAAGTCTTATGACCAGTCAGTGGCAACCAAGTGACTGGTCTTGTTTCGGTTTCTAGAGTGAGAAGTGGTCAGTAGAACTTACTTCCCACTTGCACATTCAATATGTAAGGTAGTGAGGCCTTGGTGAATATTCACCCAAGAAGGCACAACCAGAAGATTAAGAATGGAGAAAGATGTATTACCTGCAGCAAGTAAGGATATCACTAGGGTCACTTCCAAAGTAATGTTATTACCAAAGCAACAAAGCATGGAGATTTTAATTAAGGAGAATATGCATATTCATATATGAACGCACCTTAGAGGTAGGCAAATTGCTTAGAATGTTCAACTTAAGGTATATACTCCAGAGCATGCTCCATTTAAGGTCCTAATTCAGGAAAGAAAGATGAAGGACAAGAACAGTTCTGTGCATGTCTGTTCAGTATTATAAAACATTTCCTTTAGGTCACTTACAAGAATGAGTAAAAGAGGCTCAGTGACTTTGTTAGGCTCTCTTCGATTTTCTCCAGAGTCTGAATGGAAACAGAGGACAACGCTGAAGGAATGTTGAAGCAAGAATGTATCTGCAAAGGTGCCTGCCTTGCTTAATGGATAACAAATAGGAGAGAGATCATTTTCCAATACAAGGAATTAAGATAGGAAGAGGCCACGGTGGTGGGAAGGTCTCTCTCAGACTCTTCACACTGAGTTTTCTTAGTTCTCTTCTATGTGCTTCCTGAGGGTAGGAATTGTAACTCCTCATTTCATATATTGTTGCATACAGAGTTAGGGATCATAACTTCCACAGACTGGACTCCTGGTCAATATTTGTTGAAAGGCTCATGAAAGGCACCACACTATTCATCTCTATGCTTACCAACTCCAACTCCAATTTCTATGTGTTTTACACTGTATTGGTGGGGATAGTGTACTAAATTTTAACCAGTTATTAGTTTAGGGTGGTGTTGGGAACCAACCCCAGGGCCTTATTTGTGCTAAGCAAGCACTTAACCACTAAACTACATCCTCAGCCCATTGGTTTTCTTCATAAATTAAGGTGCTGTAATAAGTTTTGGTCATTCACTTCCCATAATTATGTATGTAATGTACAAATGCAATTCTTTTTAATATTTTATTTATTTTTTTAATTTTACATGTATGAGGGT